GTACTGAGGGGAGCCATGAGGGGAGATATGAGGGGAGATCTGAGGGGAGTCCTGAGGGGAGCCCTGAGGGGAGCCGTGAGGGGAGCCCTGAGGGGAGTCCTGAGGGGGCCCCGGCACTCCCGGGAATGTTCCCACTGGATCGAAAGGCTCCTTCCTGCGGCTAGAACCCCCCAGAGGACACCCGGACACACAAATCCCACACAAATCCCCTCCTGCCTCAGGGAACAGGGGAGGGAGGATGTTGGGGAAGGATGTTTGGGATAAAAGTGGGATTGGAACCTCCCAAAATCCTCCCAGATCCGTGAAATCCCGCACAAATTTTTAGGGTCAGAAGGGACCTTAAACTCATCCTATTCCTGCTTTTTTTTGTGCTGTTTTTCCCCAGGGAATCCTTGGAATTCAGGTACGCCTCTGGGAATGGATGGAAAAGCCTTGGTGTTCTCTGGAATCTCCTTCCAATCCCGGATTTCCCCCCCTCTGGAAAAGGAAGTGCAGCTCTGCCCACAGGGATTCCTTGGATCTGCTTCCCTGGAGTGCAGAAACATTCCTAACAGCTCTGATTTCTCGGGAAATTCCAGGTTTTACCCAAAAAAACAGATAAATAAATAAATTCCAGGTTCCAAAGCTCCACAGGAACCTCAGGATGGGCTGGAAGGTGACCCAAAAAAATCCGCTTTTTCCCCTGTTTTTCTTCCACCCAAATCCTTCCAAAAATCCGTTTGGGAATCAAACGCAGTTATTTCCCTTTTTCCCCAAGAAAACCCACCCACTTCCCAAGATCCAAAACTCTGGAGTGGCTCTTCCCACTGCCCTTGGAAGCTCAGGGATATTTTGGGGCCATAAAGTCAAATTGATCCATCTGAAAACTCCCAGTTTTTGAGGGATGGGATTCCCAGGTTCTCTCCTGCTTTGGGACGGCAGAGGGAGCCATTCCCACCGGGAAAAACAGGGATTTGGGAGCCTCGAGGTCTTTCCAGGAATTTCTGACTGTAAACAGTGGGGGGAAAAAAAAAATCCAAATATTCCTGAAAATATCCGTTAAAACTCGAGGAAAAGTGGGATAAAGCCCTGAGATTGTGGGATCCGTGTGGACAAACTCCAGGATGCTGCCAGCGAGGTCAGAAATCCCTGGAAAAGCAGGAGTGGAGGTCTCCCAGAGAAAGGGTAATCCTGGGAATTCGAGCGGGTTTGGGGGGGGAGAAATGAGTTTTTGGGACTCGACTGGGGCTTCCCAGGAGATCTTTTGGGGGGAATTAAACTTGGCCAGGGATGTGCAGGGAGCAGGAATTCCCTCGGGAATTCTCAGGGAGAGGCTTTTCCCGACTTTCCAGCCCTGCTTGGGGGGCATTAAAAAAACCCCTTGGCTTTGATCCCCATCCCAAGGGATCCGCCCCATTCCTGGGATACATTGATCCTTATCCAGGTTCCAGCCAGGCCCAAATCCAGCTGATTTTTGGGCCTCACTGGAAATCTGTTCATCCCTAAAATCTGAAAATACTTATCCCTAAAATCTGAATAAATCTATCCGTAAAAATTAAATGTGTTTATCCCTGAAACCTAAATTATTTATCCCTAAAATTAAAATATATCCATCCCTAAAACCTGAATCTGTTTATCCATAAAATCAAAGTCATCTGTCCCTAAAAATTCAATATTTTGATCCCTAAAAATTAAATATCCTTTGTTCCCACAAATCCTTTTATGTCACTTTAATCCTTCAATTCCTTGTCTCCTGCCGCGATTCCCACCCCTAATTCCACGATTTTCCCCACTTTTCATTCCTCCCAACTCCAGTTTCCAGCCAAATCCCTGTTTTTCCTGGGAGTTAAACAACCTAAAAGCCGTTTTTTTCCAGGATTTAACTTCCCGACTCATCCCAACATCCCCGGGGAAATGAATTAACACGTCCAAGGGCTCCCGAGCTCCCAAAAACCCCCAAATCCCGGGATCAATTCATTCCCTCCTTGTTTTCCCTTCTCTTCCCGGAGCTCCCGGGACACAAAATCCGCCTTTTCCCGGTGCCGGTGCCGCTTTTCCTTCCCAGAGGAGCTTTTCCAAGCCTCAAAAGGGGGGGATGACCCTCGATCCCGGGACGAGGGACCCGCCCGGAATCCGCTTTAATTCCTCAGCCGGAAAAATATCCTGGTTTTCCGCTCGGCTTCCCCCGGCTCCGGGCGGCCGTAAATCAGGGAGAGGTGGACGGAGCCACATTCCAGCCTTTGTTTTCCTTGGATCCCGTCCAGGGGGTTTCTCGGAGGGTGTTTTGCTGCCACTTCCAGAGGGGTTTGGGGTCACTTTTTATCCTCCCGGTCCGGGGGAGAGAGGGAGACACACCTGGGCATTCCAGAGGGGGGAGCGTTCCCAGGATCCCTTGGGAAGACTTCCCAGCTAAGGGGGAGCAGCTGGAATGGCTGGAAGTGTGTTTATCCCTAAAATCCAAGTGTGTTCATCCCTAAAATCCAAGTGTGTTCATCCCTAAAATCTGAATGTGTTTGTCCCTAAAATCAAAATCGTTTATCCCTAAACTCGAAATTATTTATTGTCCCCAAAATCCAAATGTTTTTATCCCTGAAATCTGAATCTGTTCATCCCTAAAATCTAAATCTACTTATCCATAAAATCCCAGAGGAGCGTGGGATATTCCCAGTGCCTTTCCCAAGCTGTTTTCAGAGAGCTCAGGAAACAGGGAAACGAAGCCAAACCCGGGAATTCGGGAAGCTGCTTCCTGAACCCCCGGGAAAGGAACCCCACCCTGGAATTCCCAAGGCAGGAAAATCCCACGTTCCCAGTTAAACTTGACTTTGTTTTGGGAGGTGGGGGGGTTTATTTTCCAACGTACATGCAAAAGAGAATTCCCAAAACACCGGCACGGGATCACGGGGAGCATCCGGAGGGATTTGGGGAGTGGGATCTGAGGGGGGGGGAACATCAAATTTCCACAATTTCACCGCGGATTCTCCTGAAATTCCATCGGAACCGAGTCCGTCCCGAGGGCAGGAGCCTCCAAAGGGAACACACGGATGGAGGGGGCGAATTCTGGGATTTGGGATGGTGGGAACTCTCCCGATTCCATCCCAAACTCGCCTTTCCGGGCAAAAATGTGCCATAAATATCTGGGTTTTTTGGGAAAAGTCTCCCCCCTTCCCTCCCAAAAAACCAGTGTCCAGCTGTCTGGGAGTGTTGTCCGTGGATGGGAAGAGGCGGATCCCAGAAGTCCGGGATAATCCCGGTACTGCCAACACGAGGAATTTTTAGTTCCAGGGAATTTCCCTCCGACAAAAAATCCGCCTTTTCCCTGGTTTTCGGTTCCTCCGGGAGGTTCCCGCCTGGAAAAATCAGCGTGTGGAGGCTCAGGGACAAAAGCACATCCAGGAATCCGTCGGCCAAATCCTCGGGATTGTCCCACCCGATTCCCGACTCCGCAGATCCCAAAGTAAGTCATTATTCTCTTCCTTGGAACAGTCTTGGGAATTCCTTTCCAGGAATATTTCCTCCTTGGAACGGTCGGAGAGCTGGGGGAGGTTTTCATCCTGGAGGATTTTATTCCTTCGGCTGGAACAGCTCCTGGGAAAACTTTTCCAGGAATTCCAACCGTCCTTGATGACGTTCTGGGGAGATCCCGGGTCATTCCCGAAAAAAACTGGGCTAAAAACACCATCCCAGTGATGGAATCGTGGGCAGAACCCGGGAGGGAGGAGATCCAGAGCCTTTCCAGCTGGATTAGGGCTTGGAGTTGTGCTGGGAATACTGGGAGACAGCTTGGGATGGGCACAGGGGGGGGAATCCCGAGGGATTCGGCCTCAAAATCCCAAATATCGGCGGATTCCGCCCCCAAATTCCCCGTGCTGATGGATCCTGGCCCGAAATTCCTGGTCCTGATGGAAAATGTTGGAAGGTTCAGTCTGGATTTCAGGCAGGGATTGCAGCTCCTGATGGAAAATGCTGGAAAATGCCAGGAAAAGCCAAATATTGATGGATTCTGGCCTGAAATTCCCGGACCTGATAGAAAATGAGGGGAAATCCCAAATATTGATGGATTCTGGCTAGAAATTCCTGGTCCCAATGGAAAATGCTGGAAGATTCACTCAGGAGTCCAGCCTGGAATTCCCAGTCCCGACAGATTCCGGCCAGAAATTCCCTCACCCGAGAGAAAACGCCGGAAAATTCCCACTCGGGATAGAAAACAACGGGGAGATTCCCACCAGGTTCCAGCCGGGAATGCCCATCCCGACGGAAAACACCGGGAGCGGTCGGATCCATCCGTCGGCTCCTCCGGGGAGGACAATCCCGAGGGTCTCAGTCCCGCCCCGTCCCCTCGCCCGGCTCGGGGGCGGGAGCAGCATTCCCGAGGTTCCTGGGAAGGGCTTTCCCAGGGTCAGGAGGTGAAGTAGGAGCTCTGCATGGAATACAGGCGGTCGATGGGATTCCCGAGCCGGGCCTGGAGCAGGCTGGGATCGGCCCCGGACAGGAGGCAGTCGCCCAGGGGGCCCAGGCTGTCGCTGTCCAGGTCGTGGAAAACTCCCTCCGAGTCTGGGAAAAGCAGGAAAAGGGAAGGATGGGAAAAGGAAATTAAATCAGAGGCTCTTCCCGTCCTCCCATTCCCGAATATTCCCGTGGGATGGAGAGATCTTGGTGTCAACCCCTGCTCCTGGCACAGCTCTGCCCTCCTTCCCTTCCCAAATATTCCCAGTGGATCAGGAATTCCCTTCCCAAACCTTCTCCCCCATCCCATCCCATCCCATCCCATCCCATCCCATCCCATCCCATCCCATCCCATCCC